AATTGCAGCAGTTCCCACTACCGACCCCGAGGGAGCTCCAGAATCGCCCCTGATTTCCTCGCTTGCAATTTGCGGTACGAGTTCCTTAGGTACGTCTGGAACGTAAGCGCGCGCGAAGCGCGCGTGTTTCTAGTACATCTACATAGATGTTTGTATGTGAATACATATATATATATGTATTCACATACATATATATACATATATGCATATATGAACATATGCATATATGTATATGCATGAATGAAGGGATTAATGAATGAATGGGTATGTATATGTACATACGTGAGTATATCTAATACACAAATATACACACGTACATATGTATATATATATGCACGGAATGCATGGCCACTTCTTATCCTTAAAGGATTCGCCCATTACCGCCGGCCCCATCTCTTTCAGAATGGGGTATGTCAGAGCTAAGTTGGGATGCAAGGGCGCCGTCGTAAAGCAGTGCTGGAACTTCACGCGAGGGCCAATAGAATACATTACGGCTTGCATAACCAAATTGAAAAAATATCTCTCAAATTCTGACGGCTCGCATTGCGAACTTGCTGACAATCGTGACTTCGGGACGCGAACATCGCGTAATGTACTAGGGATCGTGGCCTCGAGGCCTCGGGGGCGCGAAAAGTGCGTAATTTACACGGGATTCTTGTTTCGGGGGCGCGAATCTCATGCATGTTTACATGTCCTATTGCCCCGCGGGAAATGCAGACTAAGCGCTTCGGGCGTGGTCAATTCGATCGTTCTGGGCCCCGCGGACGTCGACGATTTACAGTAGGAAGTAGAAAGATGGACTATAACATGCGAGACTTGAAAGTGGAACTGGAGCAGGTAGCAGCAAGCCTAATCCGCGGAACCTGGTGGACCCACTGGGTGGCCGGCGGCTTTCAAAACGTGCATTAGCCCCCTTCTGGGCCGCGCACGTGCTTCGGGCCATGATTTGCGGACCCGTCCCTCGGACGCCCCCGAAGATCGGAGAAACCTCGTCTCGATTCTTTCGTTGAGAGGGGATCCGCCGTTCGGTCGACTCGGGTGTGTGGCGGTCGGTTGCGTTCGGTCGCTTCGGTTCGGTTCGTTCGGTTGTTGTGTCGTCGTCGCGTCGCTGCGCCCTCCTAGGTTGCGTGCGGCCTGTCGGCTTCGGTTTCGTTGTCGGTCTGGCCATTCTCTTATTGCACTGCCGCCATGGACGGCCTTGGTCGGATGGGACTAGGACGAGGATAAATCCGTTCCAGAGCGTTCCAGAACGCTCTCAGAGCATTCTGGGACGCTGTGAGAAGGCCGCGGCGCCCAAAACATCTTCCAGAGCCACTGGATCTCAGAGATTCTCGATTTATCTTCACCCGATTTGTTTTCGTCTTGGCTTCGTCTTACTTGGTATCTGCCAGCGGCGCCCCAGCCCCTCCGAGCTCTGTGAGAAGCACGCGCCGATCCCAGCCGCGCGCCGTTCCCCACGATTGCCGAGCCCCCTCCGAGAGAGCTCCGAGCCCTCGGAGGCCACCCTCAGAGCGCGGGAGAAGCAGCAGCCAGCAGCAGCAGGGCTGGAAGGAGCAGCAGCGGCGGGAGTGAGGAGTGGGCCGAGAGAGAGGAGTTGGAGGAGGAGGGGGGGGGGAGGAAGAGGGAGAGGAGACGGAGGAGGAGTAAGAGGAGGAGGAGAGGAGTAAGAGGAGGAGGAGGAGGAGGAGAAGGAGGAGGAGGAGGGAGGAGAACGAGGAGGAGGAGGAGGAGGAGGAGGAGGAGGAGGAGGAGGGCGAGAAGGAGGAGGAGAAGGAGGAGGAGGAGGAGGAGAAGGAGGAGGAGGAGGAGGAAGAGGAGGGCTAAAAGGAGGAGGAAGAGGAGGAGGAGGAGCAGTGGAGGAGGAGGAGGAGGAGGAGGAGGAGAAGTGACGTCACACTTATTGGCAGTACCAGCTGAGTCTGGGAAGGAATGATAGGCAACGCTCAATTCACGTCTACGCTGGACGTTAAATAGCTGAGGATTGAGTTCAGCCAGGGGGATGCATGCGTTTCACTGACATGTTGCTGCCGCTGCTCTGCCGTCGCCGCATCGTTGTCGTTCCGTCCTTTTTCCATATTGCTCTCATCCTGTCCCGCGGGCGTCGAATCTCTGCCCTGAACCCGAGAAAGAAAGAAAGAAAGAAAGAAAGAAAGAGAAGGAGGAGGAGAAGGAGGACAGGCAGGAGGAGGAACGGCATCCAGGGAAGAAGAGGAGCCAGTGGGAGCGGGCGGGGGAGGGAGGAGGAGGAGGAGCAGCAGGAGGAGGAGGGAGGAGAACGACGAGGAGGAGGAGGAGGAGGAGGAGGAGGAGGAGGAGGAGGAGGAGGCGAGGAGGAGGGCGAGGAGGAGGAGAGGAGAGAAGGAGGAGGAGGAGGAGGAGGAGGGCTAAGAGGAGGAGGAAGAGGAGGAGGAGCAGTGGAGGAGGAGGAGGAGAGGAGGAGGAGGAGGAGGAAAGGAGGGAGGAGGAGGAGGAGAAGGAGGAAGGCAGGAGGAGGAACGGCATCCAGGGAAGAAGAAGAGCCAGTGGGAGCGGGCGGGGGAGGAGGAGAAGGAGGAGGAGCAGCAGGAGGAAGAGGAGGAGGAAGCCTAAGAGGAGGAAAAGCGAAGCGGGAGTAGGCCGATCAGAGTGAGGAGGAGGAGGAGGAGGAGGGAGGAGGAGGAGGAGGAGGAGAAGAGGGAAGATGAGAGGTGGGAGGGGAAGGAAAGGAGGAGGAGGAGGAGGAGGAGGAGGAGCAGCAGCAGCAGCAGCAGCAGAAGGAGCAGGAGGAACAGGAGGAGAGGAAATACGGGAGGGGATTCGAGGAGGAAGAGGAGCAGCAGCAGAAGGAAAAGAGGAGGGCTCAGCGGGGCAGGACCCTTGCTCTCCTCCTCCTCCTCTTCCTCCTCCGCCTCCTCCTCCTCCTCCTCCTTCCCCTTCTCCTCCTCCTCCTTCGTCTCCTCCTCGTCCGCCTCCTCCTCCCCCTCCTCCTCCTCCTCCTCCCCCCTCCACCGGAGCCGCCCGCGAGAGACAGACGCGCGCGCCCGGCTGCCAGCCCGCGTCTCGCTCGCCTTGAAGCGGGGCCAGTCGCTCTTGGTCGTTCGCCGCGCGCGCGGCGCGCGCGCGCGCTGGGAGGGCGGCGCGGCCACGGCGGCGAAGGCGAAGTCGACTGCGACGGCTGCGGCGACGAGGTCGACGGGGGAGGAGGAAGCAGGAAGGACTGAGGTGGAGGACGAGGAGGTAGGAAGGAGGAAGAAGGAGAACAGGGGAAGAGGGAGGAGAAGAAAGGGAGTGAGAGAGAGGAAAGAGAGAGAGAGAGAGAACAAAAAGGGCCAGAAAGAGAAAGAGGCAGAGACTGACAGACAGGCAGACCGACAGACCGACCGACCGACAAATAGACAGACAGACAGGCATCCAGATACAGAAGACAGAGAAACAGCGAAAGAGAGAGAGAGAGAGAGAGAGAGAAAGAAGTCAATCAAGAGAGGATGAGAAAAAGAGAGGTGGGAAGGAGGAGGAGGAAAAGGAAGAGAGCAAGAGGAGCAGAAGGAGGACAAGGTGGGGGAGAAGAGAGCCGAGCAGGTGTCAAGAGGCCTCCGACAAGCGTCTTAGATGCCCTCGGGAGGCCCCATAGCCAGCCGAAGAAGAACCAGCAACCGTGCAGAAGGCTTTGGGACTGCCCAGCAGGCCCCAGGAGGTCTTGGTGCGCACAGAGACGTGTGCAGCAGCGCTTCCCGCTGTGCCCGGAATCAGCGACGACAGGCGCGAAGCGATTCTCGCTTGGAGTTGCGAAGCAGGGCGGCCCGAGCCCAATCAGGAGAGTGCACGGAGCACTTCTCGAATCGCTGCCTGGGGTCCCAGCGTGGGGCGCCCAAGACGGCCTCCTGGAGGGCGTGCAGGGGGGCCGCGGCCGCTCCAGGAGGTGCGCCGGCGGCTGCCCCGGGAGGCTCCCAGAGCGACCTGGGAGGCTGCGAGAGGCCCCAGGGCCGCCCGCGGAAGGGGCCCCAGGCGAGGCCCCAGCAGGGCCAAGAGAGGCTCCAGGCAGCCGAAAACAGCGTCGTCGTCGTCGTCGCCGCCGTCGTCGTCGGCGTCGCCACGCCGGGGAAGGTGTTCGTGCATGTGCTGTGCTGCTGCTCTGCTGTCTGGCTTCGGGAGCGACTCGGATGGCCCCCGGGTGGCCCAGGAGCGCCCAACGGACAGCAGAATGCCCGACGGAGCCCCAGCACGTTCCAAGAGGGCGTCGAAGAGGCGCAAGACTGCCACGCATGATGAATAGTAGCATGAGAAGCATGGGGCTGAGAAGGATGAGCAGCACAAAGAAGGAAGGTCTGCGTCGCTGCATGCAGAAGTCACCACCAGAAAGTGACGACACTCGCAATATGGGGAGGAACGCTCAGAAGACAGTTCCTCTTCACCCTCATCTCGCCCCTCCGCCCCCCTTGCTCCCCAGAATCCCGACGCTGGGATTTGTTCACTACATGGACCCCAGGAGGTGTCGAGCATTTGCCCAGGACTGGCTTTCCATTTGGAGTCGTTTATGGAGTGCCCAGGGGCCAGGCAAGGGCCCCCAGGATCCGAAAAGTAATGTGTACATGTCGTGGACCCCATGGACGTCTCGAACTCTTCTCTGCGACCGGCCTTGCATCCTGAGTCGGTCTTTGAAGGTCCTGCCTCCCCCCTCGAAATCAGGCGCAAGTTCTTCCCGCGACGTGGCGGCGCCCCAGGACCCCAAGAGCTCAACGTTCGCGCCGACATTGGCGACTGACTGCAAACACAGGAACCTGACCCCGTGGGCCGCGTTTCCCGCGTCGACCGAGATTGAATCCTCCTCCTCCTCCTCCTCCTCCTCCTCCTCCTCCTCCTCCTCCTCCTCCTCCTCCTCCTCCTCCTCCTCCTCCTCCTCCTCTGCTGTCGAGGAGGGCTGCGGGGCCCGGCAAGAGGCCCCCCATAGGCCGAGAGCGGCCCCCAAAAAGCTCACCGCCGTGAGCTCTCCGCGGCGCGCCGGGGGGTCGTCCGCCCGCCAGGTCTCCGGCGAGAGCGGCGTCGGCAAGACCTCCCTGCTGCGGGCCATCGCCGGCCTCTGGACCCGCGGCGGTGGTGTCATCTCGCGGTGCTGCGAGCGGCGAACGTTCATGGTCCAGCCCGGGCAGAGAAAGGGCCCACAACTCAGGCGGGCATGTCCCTCTACAGGAGGAGTCGGTCCGGGGACGATGCATCTGTGTTTTGTCAGCTATGCGTGGATGTGTTTAAAGCATGTTTCATGGTTCTTCCAAGATCCGTTTGTAGGAGGACATGCCCGACCGAAGTCTACCACCCTCCTCGAAATTAAACGCAATGTTTAAATCTTGGTCGACGCACGAAACGCGGCCCACGTGGTCAGATTCCGGCGCTCGCAGTCGCCAACTTCGGCGCGAAGGCTAAAATTTTGGAGTCCTGGAGCGCCGCCACGTCGCAGGAAAAACTTGCGCTTGATTTCGAGGGGGATGTAGCCCGCGTTCGAATTGCGTCTCTCCAGCTGCTCCTTCCCTCTCCTCGGCGTTGCAATCGTTTCACATCGGGCTTTTTCGCCCGATTTCGGGTTCGGGAACCCTCACAGATCGATCCCGATCGAAGAAGTGCCGAAGAAAGATGGGGTTTAGGGCTTTGGCCATGATTTTTCGCAATGTTGCGCTTTCGTTCCACAATGTCCGACCGCAGGATGTCGGCATGACGCATGACGAAAGCGGGAGATGGATGAAACGGATCCTGGAGATCTTCTCGCCGCTGTCGGGCTCCCTGGGGGCCATCTCCAGGCCCCGGAGCCGTCAAGAGATCGCCCAGGGTGCAACACCAGTTGGTCTCGGGGAGAGCGCTGGGGCGCGCAAGGCCCGTTGCCACCGTAGCCCGTTCCCCGACGTCCGGCAGTGCTCTTGTTGTCAGTGCGCAGCCCCCAAAGGTCTCGGCCCCTTCCCCAGGGTAGCTTTCGCCCCCCAGACCCTTGTTCGACGGTCCGACAGGGCCCGACAGCGAGCCCCGGGAGGCCGAAATCTGCAAAAAAGCGCCCAGGCGGCCGTGCCGTCGGAGACATTCCGATTCGGCTTGGGGCCTTCCCTCCTGGCCAGATTCCTTTTGTTTTCTGCCTTTGCTCGGCCCTCCCTCCCTCCTCGCTTCGCTTCCGAGCAGCTTGGAACGAGCGCGTGCGGGGACACACATGCATGGCGGAACGACCATGGACAGGAAAGATCGTGCATCGACCCTCCTTAAGAGGACATCGTCGCTGCATCAGCGCACCCTGGCTCGTCAAGGAGAGGGAAGCAAGAGGGAGAAGACTTGTCTCAGACGCCGCAGACGCTTCCAATTCCATGCCTCCTCCTGCTCCTCCTCCTCCTCCTCCTCCTCCTCCTCCTCCTCCTCCTCCTCCTCCTCCTCCTCCTCCCCCTCCTCCTCCTCCTCCTCTGCCCTGCCGACCGAGCCCTCGACCCAAAGTCCTCGCCTCCAGGAAGCCCTTTTGAGGAAGATGAGGTGCACGAAGAGGAGGACGGCGAGAGGAGGAGGAGGTGGAGGAGGAGGAGGCGGAGGAGGAGGAGGAGAGGAGAGGATGAGGAGGAGGAAGAGCAGGAAGAGGAGGGCAACGAACAAATCAGAAGCAGGTGTGCCCACGACCGCCGCAGACGCGGATGTGCGCGAGGGCCGATAAGGCACAGGCGCGGTACTCTCGCCACTAGCTCCTGCGGAAGCGCAGCGATCTCTCTGTGACATCATGCCAGTCACCGCTGCGGCCCTGGGCGGGACACCCCCCCCCCAGCCAGACCCTGAGATCCAGGCGTGCGCATTTGGCAGAGACAGCGTGTGTGTGTGTGTGTGTGTGTGTGGGTGGGTGTGTGCGCGTGCGCGCGCGTGCGAGTGTGCGTGTGTGCGCGTGCGCGCGTGCGTGTACGTGTGCGTGTGCGTGTGCGTGTGCGTCTACGTGTGCGTTTGCGTGTGCGTGTGCGTGTGCGTGTTCGTGTGCGGGTGTGTGTGTGTGCGCGTGTGCGTGAGTGCGCGTGTGCGTGTGGAAAAGAGAAGCAAGCAAACGACATCGCACGCAAAGATGGGAGCCCAAGGCCGGCAGGACGAGGCAGCCGAACGGGCGGGCGGATGATGACAAACATATGATTCTCGCAACGCCAACAGTGCCTCTCGAACCAGCCAGCACGTGTCGGAAAGGCAGTGGGTCTACGTGAGCGGACATTTGCCGCGCCGACTCTGAACGATGACACAGACGCAGGAATCTTTCAAATTCGAGTCGCTTCGCGTATCCCCACCAGCCCATTCAGAAACGATGTCCAGGCGAGTTGAGGTGATCAGGGAAGTGCGGGAGCATAGAGGTGGACGGCCGAACCGTGCGAAGAAGGCAGGAGGAGAAGAAGGAGGCTGGATGGATGGATGGATGGGGGAGTGGGGAGAAGAAAGACGAACATGATTCACATGATGATCATGATGAGGAGGAGGAAGAGGAGGAAGATAACTCGGAACTCGGATGTCCTCGGAAGTCCGCCAGGGGCGGCTCTGCCAGGGGTGCGCTGGTAAACTCTCAACCTGCAAACCAAGAGGAAGAGAAGGAGTAGGAGGAAGGAGGAGAAGGAGGAGGGGGGCGAGCAAAAGGGCCGAAGGTCTCTTAGATGCCTCTCGGAGCCTCTTGGGATATCGCTTGGGCGCTTCTTGGTGGCCTGAGGCCACCGATCAAACAAGAGGGGAGCTTCAATTTGCCTCCCCCCCCAATAGGCTAAGATGGGGCCAACACCCTAGTAAAACCAATAAGTTTGGCTTCCTCGCCGAGGCCGTTTTGGACGCTCCAACGCGTCGCGGCCCCTACGTTCAGGTCCAGGGAAGGGGGGAGGGGGAAGAATGGGGGTTGGAAGAGGAACCTCCGTAGACCACCTACGCCCAGAGGGCTGGTGGGATTTCGAGGAGGAGCGATTTGCGCTGTGCTATGCGCGACGGCTCCCGATGATCTCTGTCAGAACGTTTCGGTTTGGCAATTGCCCCATCAGCGCACAGCAGTCATGAAGTGTGATATTTATATATACGATGGAGGTAGCAACGTGATGGGTTCGCGTCCTTGCCGCATGACACCATGAGTCGAACATGGCCCTCATCTTGTGCCATGTTCCTCTTGTCTTCGTGGCATTGCAAATTGCCATCACCATACTCACAATGTCCATCCTGGTCATCGCTCACAATGGTTTCTGTTAGTTCTCGTACGCACGACCTTGGCATCCACTGATTCCTTTGCCAATACCCCTTACCGTATATCCCTTATGGTATCGGCATTGTGCCGTTCCCTCCCGTCTCCCGTATCCCGTGCTTCCACCATGGTTCCTCGTGTTGTGTATTATGTGTTCTCCGTTCTTATCTTTCTGACTCGGGGCCGCATCTTGTGGGACCTCCCCTCAGCAGCCGAGTTCCCTGCGCCCCACTGGACACACAGGTCCCGCAGCAACCTTACTTGTGCCTCGGCTCCTTGTGGGACAACGCGGTGTACCCAGGACCCGGTCATTAGCGCGCGATTCTGCTACACCGCTCGGTGAGCGGACACCAGCATATGGCCGAGCGTGGGCTTGGGAGTGAAGGCAGAGCCAGGGGCAACGATAGGGGGGTGTAGGCACGGAGGGGGGGGGGTGCATCGACCCCCAATCGCCCATTGATCGCCGACAGGGGTCTGGTAGCCCCACCCCGCCCAGGAGCGTGCAGATTTGTGATCGGAGGCCTATCGCCGATCTATCGGCGATGTGTCGCCGATTCCAGGTCGATGCTTCCCCCCGATGCCAGTCCCCCCCCTATCGTTGCCCCTCACAGAGAGGTGTGGATGTGGATGTGGCCAAGGGCTTCCCCCCACAGCCTGGAGGAGCGGGCGGCACGCGAGCCCTGGCCCCCGCGCGGAGGAGCAGCGAGCGAGAGAGCGCGGACAACGGGGAGGAGGCAGGGGGCGACTCTCGGAGCCGGAGCGGGCGGGCGACAGGGGCGGGGGCAGAGTGGAAGGCCGTGGGTGGGGGCGGGGGCAGACGCCGGGGGCGCCTGGGGGGGCCGGGGGGGGGGGCGTCGAGCGGGAGCGCACGGAGGAGTGCGGAGTGAGCGGGAGGCCAGGCGAGGCTCGACTGCACGTGAGAGTGACCCTTCGCTGGAGTGACCTCCTCTGGTGCGGGCCCACCATGGGACCCCCCAATCGCCGAGTGCGGTGCGATGGTAGCGTCCTGCGCGCTTGTGTGTTGGCCCCCGCGGCCCTCAAGCCTTCAAAAAGCCGCGCACCAAAGGTCACTCTTACCCAGGGTCACTCCTGCGTGTCGCCGAGAGGAGGTGGCACTGGTGGGAAGCCAAGGGCCAGGGAGCACCAAGGGTGGCGGAGGAGGAGCTGGGGGGGGGAGAGGGGAAACGACCCATAAGCGACGATAACCACAAGCATAAAGGGCTCCGAGCCATGGGGGCAGGACGATGGAGGCCCGAGGGGGGCCAGGGGAGGGGGCAGGCCAGGGAGGAGGGGGGGAGGAGGAGGAGAAGGAGGAGGAGGAGGAGGAGAGAGAAAGGGAGGAGGGGGACGAGGAGGAGAGGAGGAGGAGGAGGAGGAGGAGGAGGAGGAAGGAGGAGGAGGAGGAGGAGGAGAAAAAGAGGAGGAGAGGAGGACGAGGAGGAGGAGGTGGGAGGAGGAGGAAGAGGCGAAGGAGGAGGAGGAGGAGGAGCAGGAGGAGGAGGAGGAGGACGAGGGGGAGAAGGAGGAGGAGGAGGGGAGGAGGAGGAGGAGGAGGAGGAGGAGGAGGAGGAGGGGAGGAGAGGAGGAGCAGGAGGAGGAGGAGGAGGAGGGAGGGAGAGGGGGAGGGGGAGGAGGAGGAGGAAAGGAGGAGGAGGAGGAGGAGGAGCAGCAGGACAGGGAGGAGGAGAGGAGGAGGAGGAGAAGGAGGAGGAGGAGAAGGAGGAGGGGGGGAGGACGGACCACGAACGACGACGACCACGAACATGACCCCAGGAAGAAGCCTAAACAGGGGGTGTGGACAGCTTGCGCTTGTTGGTACGTAGGCCAGCGTGTGGAAGCGTCAGTGAAAAGCACCTGCGAGTAACAACGCGTTGTGTTATACGCAATATGTGTATGTGTGTGTTTGTGTGTGTGCTTGTGTCTGTCTGTGTGTGCGTGCGTGTGTGTTCTATGTTGTGTGTGGTGTGTGGTGTGTGTTATGTGTTGTGTGTTGTGTGCTGTGTGTGTCGTGTGTGTGTTGTGTGTTGTGTGCTGTGTATGTAGTGTGTGTTGTAGTTGTGCTTGTGTGTGGGTATGTGCCTGTGTCTGTCTGTGTGTGCGTATGTCTGTGTTGTGTGTTGTGTGAGTTGTGTGAGTTGTGTGTTGTGTGTGTTGTGTGTGTTGTGTGTTGTATGTTGTGTATGTTGTGTGCATTTGTGTGTGCTTGTTTGTGTGTTTGTGTGCGTTTGTGAGTGATTGTGTGGTCGTGTTTGTATGCGTTGTGTTTGTTGTGTTTGTGTGTGTGTGTGTGTGAGTTTGTTTGAGTGTGTGTTTGTGTGCGTGCTTGTGTGTGTGTGTTTGTGTGCGCTTGTGTGTGCTTGTGTGTGTTGTCTGTGTGTTTGTGTGTGCGTGTGTGTGTGGTTGTGTGTGCGTGTGTGTGTGCGGGTGTGTGCTTGTGTGTGTGTTTGTGTTTGTCTGTGTGTTTGTCTGTGTGTTTGTGTGTGTTTGTGTGTGGGTGTCCCTCTCACTCCCCCGTGCCTCGCGGTTTGATTCGCATATGTATGTCTTATGTGTGCTCTTCCGCCAGCGCAGTCACTCTGCCTAGCCGCCGGGACGAGAAAACAGTGTGTGTGTGTGTGCGTGCGTGTGTGTGGTATGTGTGGTATGTGTGTGGTGTGTGGTGTGTGGTGTGTGTGTGGTGTGTGGTGTGTGGTATGTGGTGTGTGGTGTGTGCGTGTGTGCTTGTGTGCGTGTGGTGTGTGTGTGTGTGTGCCCGTCCCCTCTCAGCGTCCGCCCCTTCCCCCTCGCCTCAGTCGCCCATGGGCGGAGGCGCCTACCCTCCCCGCCGCCGGCCGCCTCGCAGGTCACAGTAGACCTCGGCTTCTTGGTGCGTCGGCTTTCTGCAGGTTTTTGGTGCCGGGCCGCATCGCCAGCAGCCTCCGCCTTGTGCAGTGCCTTTCCTCCCCCTCCCGCCTTGGGCGGATCCGCTTCCGCGGCTCGCCTCGTCCTGCTTGCCTCGTGCCTTCCCTCAGCTTTGCCAGTCTTGGCCAGCTGGCCAGCTCTACTGCGCCCTCCCCTGGCTTCCTGCCGGGAGCTCTTCGTTCATTTGGCGCGCCTGTTCGGTGCCCCTCCCGGTCCGTTGCTCATTGCCAGATTGCGGCTCTCCTGCCTCCCCCACCTGGCTCGTGGCCCGGCTGGCCTCGCCGCCCACGCCCCCCCTGTCGCCCGTCCCGCCCTGCTTGATGTTCAGGCCGACCCCTCCCCCCCAGGCGCCGCCTCGTGCCCCGCCCCCCCCCCCCTGCCGACCCTTCCCCTTGAGGTGGTCCCGCACTGGCTGCCCCTGGGTTGCCTCGCAGGTCACCTGTGACCTCGGCACCTTTGGCCTCTGCTTTCGCGTGCACCTTCGTCTCCAGCTTGCGCTGGGCACTGCTTCCCCCCCAGGCGCCGCCTCGTGCCCCGGCCCCCCACCCCCTGCCGACCCTTCCCCTTTGAGGTGGTCCTGCACTGGCCGCTCCTGGACTGCCTCGCAGGTCGCTTGTGACCTCGGCACCCTCGGCTCGCGTTCTTGCGTTCTCCTTCGTCCCCAGCCCGCGCTGGGCGCTGCTCCCCCCGGGCGCCCACCTCCGGTGGCCGCCTGGCTGGCCTATCCGCCCAGCCGCCGCCTCGCCGCCGCTGGGCCCCCCTCTCGGCGCCGCCCCCCCCGCCGCCGCTTGGCCCCGCCGTGAGCGGGCCCGGCGTCCTCCTCCCCCCCGCTGTCGCCGGGCGTTCCTCCTCCTTCCCCCACGCATTGCGGCTCGATTGGCAACTTTTCGCCCATCATTTGCTCTTCCGCCAGCGCATCACTCTGCCTAGCCGCCGACGCAAAAAGTGTGTGTGCGTGTGTGCGTGTGTGCGTGTATGTGTGTGTGCGTGTGTGTGTGTGCGTGTGTGCGTGTGTGCGTGTGTGCGTGTGTGCGTGTGTGCGTGTGTGCGTGTGTGCGTGTGTGCGTGTGTGCGTGTGCGTGTGGGTGCGTGCGTGCGCGTGCGTGCGTGCGTGGTGTGTGAATGCGTGCGTGCGGCGTGCGATGCGTGCGTGTGCGTGTGCGTGTGCGTGCGCGTGCGCGTGCGTGCGCGTGCGGCTGCGTGCGCGGCGCGTGCGTGGCGTGCGTGTGCGTGCGTGTGCGTGCGCGGGCGTGCGCGGGCGTGCGCGGGCGTGCGCGGGCGTGCGCGGGCGTGCGCGGGCGTGCGCGGGCGTGCGCGGGCGTGCGCGGGCGTGCGCGGGCGTGCGCGGGCGTGCGCGGGCGTGCGCGGGCGTGCGCGGGCGTGCGGGCGTGCGGGTGTGTGTGTGTGTGCGTGTGTGTGTGTGTTTGCGCGTGTGTGTTCGCAAGCGTTCCTGTGCAATGCTCTAACTTTGAAATGCAAGTTGAGAGCCGTATGCAATTTGTGGTCTGTTATTTGGGTTATTCTGTTTAGTGTGGGCAAAACCAGCTACGAAGTCGGATCCGACCAATCTCTCACACCCGTTCTAGACGACAGGCGGAACCTGAACAAGATGACATTCGAGAGGACGTAAGGCTGGAGCTAGAGCTGAGGCATGAGCTCGGGTTGAGATAGAGCTGGGACTGGAACGTATCGGGAGCTGGGCTGGAGCAGGAGCTGGAGCTGAGCTTGAGCTCGGGCTGGAGCAGAAGTTCGAAATGGAGCTGGGTCTGGAGCTTGAAGTTTGGTTTGGAGCTGGGGCAAAGGCTGCAAGTTGGGCTGGAGCTAGGGCACACTGAGAGTGAACAAGGCTGGAATTGGGGCTGGAGCTGGGACATGACAGCTTGAAGAGCACCAAATGTTGGAGTGTTCGCTCCAGACGTTCAAGAGATCGCCCGGGAGTTCAGCGAAGAGCACCAGCGTAAGCGTGAGCATGAACAGCACGCTGGAGGGTTGGCCTGGATGCTCAAAAGCAGGCCGCGTGGGTTTCGTTATGTGGGCCGTGGGCTTGGGGGGCAGGGGGCCAGGGGGGAGGGCCAGGAGGCCAAGGGTGGGCAGAGACCGAGGGAGGCCAGGGACCAGGGAGCTCCGAAAAGGCCAAGGGAGGGGCCAGGGTCCGAAGAGGCCAAGGGAGGGCCATGCACGAACGACGGCGACCACGAAAACAAGCGGCACGCGCGCGTGCCTTGGCTCTTGCGCGAGGGGGCAGCGAGGGACCCCGAGGGACAGGAGGAGCAGGGTAACGAGGGAGTGCCTCCTGGGGCAACTTGGGGCCATCATGGGGGGACAGTGGTTACGCAAGGGAGGGCGGCAAGGGGGCGACGAACGAACGACGAAAATAATGAGCCCTCTAGATCACAGCTGTGCGCGAGAGAATAAAAGAGTCCTGTCGAGGGAGCCGAGAGGGCTAGGGGACGGCGGTCTGCAGGGGAGAGGCCCAGATGCCCTGGAGGAGGACGGCAACCCCCGAACGACGAAAATGAAGGAGTCCGGGCGGCGACTCTTTTGGAGCGACTCCTTGGGTCGGGGGGGTGCGCATCGCACCCTCTCACCCCACGTCAGACTCTGAGCTGGCGGCGGCGCCGACCGCGGCGGGACATCTTCGCGGCCTCTGTGCTGCAAGGAGGGAGACAGGGGAGGCACCAAGAGAAACGACGAGCCACGAGCGACGACAAGAAGTTGGTCCCGTAGAGGGGGCCGTAGGGGCAGGGATTTAGGGGGCGAAGAGGGAGGACGATGAGCGGCGACAATAAAACTGTCTTGGCGAAGAGGTCTGGGGGGCAGGGACAAGGAGGCGCAGAGGGAGGACGACGAACGACGAAAATGGAAGGGTCTTGACGAGGGGGTCTTGGGCCAGGCGACCACGAGGGACGGCGAACGACCACGGAAAGAGAGGGAGCCGGGCAAGGGGGGGAGGCCGAGGCTTCAGGCCAGAGGCCTAGGGAAGGGAGCTCTGGCAGGGGACCGGATGGTCGAGGGCCAGGAGGGCCAAGTGGTCGAGACCCCGGGGCCGAGTCACCATGGGAGGGGGGGCCCCGGGCAAGACGACGACGAACGATGACTAGCGACCACGATTAGAAAGGACTCCGAGCTCTAGGACACTGCTCTGCAAGAGGAACAGGCCCCACGGCAAGTTAATCCCAATTGGCGCTTCGAAGAGGCCATTTGTGATTGGCGTTCGGCCGACGAGGCTTGCCAGTGGATAGGTCTAGGAAACGAGTTCGATGAAGTGTTGTACTTCCCGCAGACCACAGCACACCCTGCGACGATTATGGCATGCGCAGACTTCGATCGTCCACCACTTCGGGGTGATTGCCAGCAGTCTTGGGCAGAATTCTGTGAACATGGCCGGCGATTCCGAGTCAAGATGACATGACCTTTGCAGCAGAGCTTCTCTCGCCGACCTTCGTCTATGCCTCGTAGCGCCATCCCTGGCCATGCCAGAATCGTGATCCTGATTTCTTGCACGGGTTCCAGCTTCGTGTCGTCCTTGCCCCACACCCTTCATCGACGTCTTCGTTTTGCAGCCTGTTCGGCACTCCCTTTCTGGTGCTTCCTCCCCCGTTCTTCGCGAGCTCGCCGGCACCATTCTGAGTTCACGCATCCTCCCCACGCGTCTCTATGTGATCATAGTCAAATATGATGGATGTCTCTCATTCCCTCCACGTTGATGCCGCCAAGGACCAAGTGGCGACGCCGAGCCCCCAGGCGATGACGAGGTCGTACAAACGTTGGAGCGCGTCAACCTCGGGCACCTTGTGGTCAGGCGCCCCGGAAAATCTCGCACTCTCCACCGCCAGCACCACTACCGGCACGACTGCAGGCGCCCAAGTATTTCCGCAATGTGTTCATAGACGTTCGTTTCAAATGCAGACCCCGAGCCGTTCAGTTCCGCATTCTAACGAGCGTTCGGGATACAGGTGAGGCAGAATGGAGGCACGCAACGCACAAAGCAGTTAATTTCTGTTTGTGGGCCCCGTCATTGTTGATGCATGCGGCTGCATGCGGTTGATGTTGTTTCTTCATCTGTCGCCGTTCTCGTGTCGTCTGGGTGACTACAGTGGAATTGCATGCCTATGCCTATTCAAGAAATGCCAGAGCCCGCTTGCAACAGATTTGATTGCGGCGTTACGATCAGGATTTCCATAACTATGCAGCGATAGCCGTTCATCTGAACCCGAGCGGCTCCGGAATGATGGCGAGATAGTTACAGGAACGAACAGCAATAGAATGCCGCGCCGGGGATCGGGACGCCCATCATTAAGTGGGAAGCATCGGTATGCAACAGGAAGGCCAGTTGAGGCGCATTCAGCGAGGATCAAGTTTCGGCTGTTGCAGGTTGGTCGGCGCGCTATACTCCAGGTTCTTGGTTCGATTCCTCCGCCTTCCTCCGCCCCCCCCCCCGCCTATTTCGCGCCAGCTTCTTCGTTTCACGCAGTAAGACAGGGCGAGGACGACCATGCAGCAGAACAGCCCGCCGACCCCCCAACTTCCACTATTGCCCACATTGGTTTTGTGTATGGGGTTGTCGTTGCCGTGTTAAAAAATCAGCGGGGCTCAGAATGCGCATTCGGATAATCGTTGCTGCCATCGAAGCATTGCCCGAGGTCGAATAGGTTTTGAGAGGAGGTACTATTTCCTGCGGGCCAGCATGGTCACAACAGTGCGACCTTTCGGAGGATGCTGGCACCCTCATTTGGGATGCAGAGAAGTTGATGAATGGAACACGCGCGCGCATAGCAACACCTGGAAACAGGAAGTTCGCTCACCCAGTGACTGAACAGACTAGCACGTTAGAGTGTGACCAAACGCATGTTGCTCAATTGCACCTCCCTACGGGGCAGATACCGCCGCCTAACGTTTCTGGAGCGTGGCCGCTCCAATGAAAAGTAGACGTGCGGACAGAAGCGGTGCTGGGATCACGCCCAGCAGAGACAGCGTTTCAGAGATTTCGTGTAGATTCTGAGTCGACGTGACACTACATGGTCGCACTGTATTAGCCAAGAAAAGCTCATGAAGGCAAAAGAGGCTCGTGAGAGGCTGGATTAGGCTTCAAGCAGCAAGAAGAGAGGTTCAAGACAGCGAACAAGACTTATACATCTGTATACATATATATGGTCTTTCAGTGTGCTTGGTGTTTTCGCTGTTTTGTCTCAGCACGATTCTAAGAAAGTTTCAGAGGAGTCCGAGACAGCCCGAGCGGGCTCAAAAATGGTTCCCAAGAGAGCCTCTGGAGGGGTCGAAGACGGCGGATGAACTCGAAAATGGCATACGGAAGGGAAAAAGCGAGGCACATACACTCTTGAGCCCTCAAGAGGAATTCTGGGGGCTCCCTGGAGGCGTCCAAGACCGCTGAACTGTGCGCAACGCCGCCGCCCAGACAGCCCGAAAAGACCATTTCCCCCAGGACGGCCCAAGATGCCTAGATGGCCCTGGAAGGCCAGAGAGGCTCCGCAAGAGGTGCAAAGAGGTTCGAGACAACCCACCTAGTCAATGTTTTCCTGCTGCCTATGTGCTTCACATCCGTCCCTTTCCGGCTCAACATGTCCCCACGTCAAGTTCCGAGGAGTCCCCAGACGGCCCGAGCTTTGAGGACCACCGAAGATGGCACAAGAGGGCCCCAAGCGGTTCTGGAGACGGCCCAAGAGTGCTTCGGCGTGTGGTCGATGGTCAGCCTCTTGCGTGAAGGTGGGCTCGGTACGGGGGCGCATTGGTGGCCAGCTGGCCCCCTGAGGGCACCGAGTCCACGGGGGCCAGGAGGATGCACAGGCCCCGCGGGGGACCCCAGAAGAGGCCGCCAGAGCATGGTTGAGGATGTGCGTTGATGGCAAGGGTCGCGGCGATGAAAGGGGTTTGAAGACTCCTGTCGGGCAGATCCCTGCGGCCGGTGTACGAGAAGCCGTTCCCCTGAGGGGGGGCGGTTCGCACATTCCGCCAGCCCATCTTGCGTTACTGTCGTTATTTGCCTGGGCGCGCGTGAAGCTTGGAAGGTTTGTGGACGGTCGTGTGAAATGCCCGAGTGGTCAAATTGATGACAAGTTCAATTGAACACGCACTTACTCAAGAGTCACCATCGGAGCCCACATCACGATAATGCATGAGTGATTTGGGTCATGCCAGCCCCCTCGAGGCCTGCATCTGAAAAGACTCTTGGGGCGCTTTGGGGCTCTTCTGAGTGCGTCCTGGCAGCGTGTCATAGGCGTCTCGAAGCCTCTTGGGGGCTGTCTTGGGCAATGTGGGAGCTGTTTTTGGGCGATCTTGCTCGGACTTGACACCGGCCGAGCCCAAGTATCGGGTCTTCTCTGTTTCCCAACCATCTTGTGGTGTTGGGTCCTCGTTTCGAAGGAACAGCGCCCCGCGTTCCTCACTCCTTTCTCCTCCCCCTCCTCCCCGTCCTCTTTGCGTTTCACCTACCCAGTACAGCGCTTCGTGGCCCCATAGGGAGCTCCACCGAAGCCCCAGTGGGACCGTCCGCATGCGTCCCGAAAACCCAATTTGGCATTTTCCCCCACCCATTACAACGTTTCGTGGCCCCATGGGCAGCTCCACCGAAGGCACCAGTGCCACCGCCCGCATGCGTCCCGAAAACCCAAGATGGCAGTTTCGCCCATCCAATGCAGCGCTTCGTGACCCCATAGGGAGCTCCACCGAAGGCCCCAGTGCCACCGTCCGCATGCGTCCCGAAAACTTGATTTGTCATTTTCATTCACACAGTACCTCCACCGAAGTCCCAAGTGGGACCACCCGCATGCGTCCCACACACCCAATTTGGCATTTTCACCCACCCAGTACAGCGCTTCGTGGCCCCGTAGGGAGCTCCACCCAAGACCCCAGTGGGACCGCCCGCATGCGTCCCACACACCCGCTTTAGCACACCCCTCGCAAGAGACGGCCCCAGTGCCACCGCCCGCATGCGTCCCCCACACCAATTTCGGCACACCCCTCACACGCTTCGTGGCCCCATGGGGAGCTCCATCGAAGGCCCCAGTGCCACCGCCCGCATGCGTCCCCCACACCCATGTCGGCGCTTCGTGGCCCCATAGGGAGCTGCGTCCCCCACACCCCAGCGCGTCGTCGAGCTCCACCACCATTCACACGCTTCGTGGCCCCATAGGGAGCTCCACCGAAGGCCCCAGTGCTACCGTCCGCATGCACCCCCCCACCCATTGCAGCGCGTCGTGGCCGCATAGGGAGCTCCACCGAAGGCCCCAGTGCTACCGTCCGCATGCACCCCCCCCCCACCCAGCGCTTCGTGGCCCCATAGGGAGCTCCACCGAAGGTCCCAGTGCTACCGCCCGCATGCGTCCGCCCCACCCAGTGCAGCGCGTCGTGGCCCCATCGGGAGCTCCACCGACGGCCCCAGTGCTACCGCCCGCATGCATTCCCTCCCACCCAGTGCAGCGCTTCGTGGCCCCATGAGGAGCTCCACCGAAGGTCCCATTGCTACCGCCCGCATGCGCCCCCCCTCCCAGTACGGCGCTTCGTGGCCCCATAGGGAGCTTCAACGACGGCCCCAATGCTACCGCCAGCATGCGTCCCCCCCACCCAGTACAGCGCTGCGTGGCCCCATAGGGAGCTTCACCGAAGAAGAGATTCACAATTGCGGTACCAACAATTGCATATGGTCGGGTCTTTCGCCAAGACAATTTCGTTTGAGCTCTCTTGTGAAATCTCGGGGCCCTCTGAATGTTCTCGTGATTCTTCCTTGGGTCGTGCCTGGGGGGCCTCTATAGTGGAATTACGGACCCTCCCAGGGCCTTGGCGGGCCGTTGCTGGGCTTGACAGGCTCATTGGGCCAGGAGGCCCACACCGTTGAAAATTAGCTTGGCGAAGAGCGCAAGTCTGTCTGAACGAAGCTTGACTATAAACAAGGCGGACAAATGTGTATGTGTAGCTCAGAAATGCTGCACACTTGTTTTGCACCACGCCAGGCGCCCCGCCTGGACCCAGCTATCTGTCAGCACTGTCGTCCACAGTGCACACGCGCAGCAGCACGTACGGGAGAGAGAGAGCGAGAGAATATCAGTGTATCATCTGGAGTAGCGGGGAGAGTGACTGGGGGAAACGGGGTAAGCCAGCCCGAGCACAAAATGGCTTCGGAGGGCAGAAAGGCAGGTACGGATGGGCTGAAGGGAAGCGGGGGCATACACTGAGCACAGTAGAATTACAGCTCCCGAAAATCTCTGTTCCCTTCAGCCTCTGAATAAACACCCAAGCATCACCGCCTGGGCCAACGCCCAGGCTCACTACGCAGCTGATGAGCTGCCATGGTGGTCTCCTCATTCACGATACACAAGGAGCCCTCCCGCATCAGTTTCACCATCAGATCCATCTTCGCCCGTCGCTTAGTCAATCCATCCACTATCATGGCAGGATGATCCACCCATCGTATCTCGCAACCCATTGCATTCATCGCTTGGCGAATGATTTGAATCGGGGTAGAGCACTTCCGGTCCCGCCGTCCTGTCGTCTCACGCTGTAGGTAGTCATACAACGACTTTGCGTCCACAATGCACAGTCCCTTACGTAGGACCTCTGCGTTCTTCTCCTCCGTACTCTTCCCCGCTAGGGCCAGCAAAGCGGATTTTGTTTGGAAAACAATGGGATGGGCCTTGATTGTCCAGGAGAACTTCGTTTCGTTTTTTTTGTTGTTGTTGGGGGGGGGAGGAATGAAGACTGCAAGAATCCACGTGGAATTCATGTCGTTTTCGCTCGCCGTTCCAGGGTTTTGCATTGATAGAAATCCACGCGAAAATCCGCTGCAGC